AATTAAAAAAATAACCATTAAAATATGTAACCCTGTCTTTCTCTATTCAATACATCTTTTGTGAAAATAAAATAAAATATGTAAAATTTCAAGGTAAAAAATGTCTTTAATAATAATAATAACAATAATAATAGATAACCGTTAAAATATGTAACCCTGTCTCTAATAAATCTTTTGTGAAAAAAATAAAATAAAACATGTAAAATTTTCAAGGTAAAAAATGTCTTTAATAATAATAATAATAATAATAATAATTAATAATATATAATAACAATAATAATAATAATATAATAATAATAATAATAACAATAATAATAATAAACAATAATAATAGATAACCGTAAAATATGTAACCCTGTCTTTCTCTATTTAATAAATCTTTTGTGAAAAAAAAAAATAAAATAAAATATGTAAAATTTCAAGGTAAAAAATGTCTATTAATAATAATAATAATAATAATAATAATAATAATATATGAATAATAATAGATAACCATTAAAATATGTAACCCTGTCTTTCTCTATTCAATACATCTTTTGTGAAAATAAAATAAAATATGTAAAAATTTCAAGGTAAAAAATGTTTTTAATAATAATAATAACAATGAACAATAATAATAGATAACCGTTAAAATATGTAACCCTGTCTCTAATAAATCTTTTGTGAAAAAAATAAAATAAAACATGTAAAATTTCAAGGTAAAAAATGTCTTTAATAATAATAATAATAATAATAATAATAATAATAATAATAATAAACAATAACAATAATAATAATAATAATAATAATAATAATAACAATAATAATAATAACAATAATAATAGATAACCGTTAAAATATGTAACCCTGTCTTTCTCTATTTAATAAATTTTTTGTGAAAAAAATAAAATAAAATATGTAAAATTTCAAGGTAAAAAATGTCTATTAATAATAATAATAATAATAATAAAATAATAATAATAATAATATGAATAATAGATAACCATTAAAATATGTAACCCTGTCTTTCTCTATTCAATACATCTTTTGTGAAAATAAAATAAAATATGTAAAATTTCAAGGTAAAAAATGTCTTTAATAATAATAATAACAATAATAATATATAACCGTTAAAATATGTAACCCTGTCTCTAATAAATCTTTTGTGAAAAAAATAAAATAAAACATGTAAAATTTCAAGGTAAAAAATGTCTTTTTAATAATAATAATAATAATAATAATAATTAAAAATAACAATAATAATAATAATAATAATAACAATAATAATAATAACAATAATAATAGATAACCGTTAAAATATGTAACCCTGTCTTTCTCTATTTAATAAATCTTTTGTGAAAAAAATAAAATAAAATATGTAAAAAATTTCAAGGTAAAAAAAAATGTCTATAATAATAATAATAATAATAATAATAATAATAATAATATGAATAATATGAATAATAGATAACCATTAAAATATGTAACCCTGTCTTTCTCTATTCAATACATCTTTTGTGAAAATAAAATAAAATATGTAAAATTTCAAGGTAAAAAATGTCTTTAATAATAATAATAATAATAATAATAACAATAATAATAGATAACCGTTAAAATATGTAACCCTGTCTCTAATAAATCTTTTGTGAAAAAAATAAAATAAAACATGTAAAATTTCAAGGTAAAAAATAAATTTTAATAATAATAATAATAACAATAATAATAGATAGCCGTTAAAATATGTAACCCTGTCTTTCTTTATTTAATAAATCTTTTGTGAAAAAAAATAAAATAAAATATGTAAAATTTCAAGGTAAAAAAAATGTCTTTAATAATAATAATATAAAAATAATAATAATCATAATAGATAACCATTAAAATATGTAACATTTCAAGGTAAAAAATGTCTTTCTACTTTTTCCAAGTGTATTGTGTGTAATATGTGTGACCTTTGCTCAGATCTGGCTGCTTTCTCTCCCTGAACTCAAAGCTGACTGTGTGTTGGTAGAGACAGAACTCTGTGCTGTGATTGGCCACCGCCAATCAGCAGGCAAACCCACATGGAAGAAAAATATATTTTAAATATATTTTCAAAATATTCTTCCCAAACATATTGACATATATTTGAAATACTAAAATTTTGGCCACATTCAATATATTAAAAAAAAATATATATATAATATATATATGTATATATATATATATGTAATAAAAACGCATTTCAACATACAGTATGTATGTTGAAATGCGTTTTTATTACAGAATAAATGAAAAACATTTTTTTTTAAAATACATTTTCAAATATACTGTATGTCTTTAAAAATACATTTAATCTAAATTTTTGGAATGCATTTACAAATATATGTAAAAAATATATGTTAAAATAACTTTTTTATATGTAAAAAAAATCTGAAGAATATATTTAAAAAATATATATTTTTTTAAATATTTTTCATATATTTTGTAATATATACAAAAACGCATTTCAACATGCAATGTGTGTGTATATATATATATATATATATATATATATATATATATATTATTTTTTTTTTTTTTTTTTTTTTTTTTTTTTTAAATATATTGAATACGGCCAAAATTGTAGTATTTCAAATATATCTCAGTATATTTGGGAAGAATATCTTCAATATATAATTCAAATATATTTTTTTTCCATGTGGGAAGCATTGGCCAATCACAGCACAGATCAGCAGGGGGCGTGTGCATGTGCCTGATAACAGGTTGCGAGGTATGAGTACGCTGCCTAGCCTGTACCTGCAGTAAATGCGCTGTGGGCGGGCAGCAAGCGGTTAATTTAAGCAAACCAAAAAAAAAAAAAAAAGTTGTATGTAAACAGCTTTATTAGTCCCAACGGAATAATTAAAAATTAAACGATGCTCCTCGTTCTATTACACCCTCAACACGGTGTTTAAAAAAGTTGACAAGCCGAAGAGTTAGAAAACAATAATGGTTCTGCGAGAACGCCGTCGGTCAGACATCCTCCAAGTGGCACTGTTGCGCAACAGATTTTTATGGCTGTTGAAAACGGGTTTTATAGCCGCAATTAACATGAGCATTAAACAGAAAAATCTCCTAATCCTCCCTTAATTATAGCCGGATTTACAGCTCAATATTCATATTGTGTTATAGGACACCTCAGCTCTCCGCAGGACTGCATGGGGGCATTTCAGTGCAAGAGGTGACTGCGCCATCGCAGGACGCGGCGTCCATAGATCGGCATTGATCCGGCACTGCGGGGGACCGAAAGTATTTACAGAAATACTTCACTTCTGCAGCTCATACAGAATTCTAATTTGTTTTTTGTGTTTTTTTTTTTTTTGATGCAATTTGTATGTTATCTCAAAGTAATCTGAACTCACTTGATAAGACTTGTCTGAGGACTCATTGATATGGGCAGAGGTTCCTGGAGGACGGGAACATTCCTGCACCGTCAAGTATTTTTTTTTTCAGGAATGGGGAGAATTTTAATTGTGATGTTGCGATGCGTTGAGATGACAATCATTGTATACAGTTGCATTAAAATGTCATTCCTTAAAATATTTTTGTTACGTTTTTCATGTTTATTTACGAGGACAATTAGAAGGCTGGTGCTAGGCTATTCTGCGCCCTAGGCAAGACCGGCTACTTGCGGTGTCCCCCCCCCCCCAAAAAAAAAAAATAAAATAAATGAAAAGATTTTTAAAAACAGTACAAAATATTAAATCCACAAAACTTGAAACTGATAAATTTCTTTTAATTTGAAAAAATAAGTACCATAAGATGCTGCCGGCACCAATAATAAAGACAAAATATATATTAACCAAATATAAATTAACTTTATTATCCAATCAGACGGAGAAACAAAAAAAGTTACAAAACTCCACAGTGATCAGTCAGCTGGCTTGCAGTAAGGGACTTAGTCTGAGAGGAACACCGGAAGGAGCTGCAGCTCAGCTGCTACACTGGCCCCAGACACCCGGCATCTTCCTTTGTCCAATTATCCAATAAGACAGAGAAACAAAAAAAGTTACAAAACTCCACAGTGATCAGCCATCTGGCTTGCAGTGAGGGACTTAGTCTGAGAGGAACACTGGAAGGAGCTGCAGCTCAGCTGCTACACTGGCCTCAGACACCCGGAATCTTCCTTTGTCCAATTATCCAATCAGACAGAGAAACAAAAAAGTTACAAAACTCCACAGTGATCAGCCAGCCAGCTTGCAGTATGGGACTTACTCTGAGAGGAACAATGGAAGGAGCTTCAGCTCAGCTGCTACACTGGCCCCAGACACCCGGAATCTTCCTTTGTCCAATTATCCAATCAGACAGAGAAACAAAAAAAAAGTTACAAAACTCCACAGTGATCAGCCAGCTGGCTTGCAGTATGGGACTTAGTCTGAGAGGAACACTGGAAGGAGCTGCAGCTCAGCTGCTACACTGGCCCCAGACACCCGGCATCTTCCTTTGTCCAATTATCCAATCAGACAGAAACAAAAAAAGTTACAAAACTCCACAGTGATCAGCCAGCCGGCTTGCAGTAAGGGACTTAATCTGAGAGGAACACTGGAAGGAGCTGCAGGTCAGCTGCTACACTGGCCCCAGACACCCGGCATCTTCCTTTGTCCTTTATTCCTCCCCCCTCTGCCGTCCCTCCCCTCAGCTAAAGTATCATTTATGACGTTCCGGAGTCCTACACAATTACTCAGCATCCGCTCCCCCTCACCCCGACCATTGTCCTCCCCCTCCCCCTCACCGTCACCTCCATGACCCGCTCACCTCTGACGGCTCTTGCCGGGGTGCGGAGTCCAGGCTGCGGCTCTCGGTGAGGATAGGCGGCCTTCCAGCACTACACCGCTTCCCTCTGATACACATCGGGCCCCAATCATCCTACTCATATGCAACCAGAGCACACCCCCCCACCTATTGATTGGCTCCAGCTGTGTAGAAGTAGGCGGAGCCAGCACTGGACATGCCCTATTCGGTCATTAGCCGACACCCTGTTCTAGCTGGAGGATCGTATGTGCCAGTGTGTGTGCCGGAGATGTACGGACCGATCCTCCAATCAGGGACTACTGACCGCCTGGGGTCCTGAGCTAATTCCATTTCTTCCCATCCTAGGGGAGCCAACACTTCACTGCTACATGGAACACTGTGAGATACACCAAACGTGTTGGGCCCGCCCTCCCAATCATGTGATTCAGGTGTTCCAATCCCCTCCCAATCATATGATTCAGGTGTTCCAATCCCCTCCCAATCATGTGATTCAGGTGTTCCAATCCCCTCCCAATCATATGATTCAGGTGTTCCAATCCCCTCCCAATCATGTGATTCAGGTGTTCCAATCCCCTCCATATCATGTGATTCAGGTGTTCCAATCCCCTCCATATCATGTGATTCAGGTGTTCCAATCCCCTCCCAATCATGTGATTCAGGTGCTCCAATCCCCTCCCAATCATGTGATTCAGGTGTTCCAATCCCCTCCATGGACACAGGTGTATACAATCAAGCCCCCAGGCATGCAGACTGCTTCTACAAACATTGGTGAAAGAATGGGTCGCTCTCAGGAGCTCAGTGACTCCAAGCGTGGTCCCGTGATAGGTGGCCACCTGGGCAATAAGTCCATCCGTGACATTTCCTGGCTACTAAATATTCCACGCTCAACTGTTAGTGGGATTATAACAAAGTGGAAGCAACTGGGAACAACAGCCACTCAGCCACCAAGTGGTAGGCCACGTCACATGACAGGGCGGGGTCAGCGCATGCTGAAGCGCACAGTGCGCAGAAGTCACCAACTGTCTGCAGAGTCAATAGCTAAAGACCTCCAAACTTGGTGTGACCTTCAGATGAGCCCAACAACAGTGTGTAGAGAGCTTCATGGAATGGGTTTCCATGGCCGAGCAGCTGCATCCAAGCCTTCCATCACCAAGTGCAATGCAAAGTGTCGGATGCCGTGGTGTAAAGCATGCCACCACTGAACTCTAGAGCAGAGGAGGCATGTTCTCTGGAGGGACCAATCACGCTTCTCTGTCTGGCAATTGGATGGACGTGTCCACGGGGCCAGGAGAACGGTACTTGCCTGACTGCATTGTGCCAAGTGTAAAGTTTGGTGGAGGGGTATTATGGTGTGGGGTTGTTTTTCAGGGGTTGGGCTTGGCCCCCTAGTTCCAGTGAAGGGAACTCTTAAGGTGTCAGCATACCAAGACATTTTGGACAATGTCATGCTCCCAACTTTGTGGGAAGAGTTTGGAGATGGCCCCTTCCTGTTCCAACATGACTGCACACCAGTGCACAAAGCAAGGTCCATAAAGACATGGAGGAGCCAGTTTGGGGTGGAGGAACCTGACTGTCCTGCACAGAGTCCTGACCTCAACCCCATAGAACACCTTTGGGATGAATTAGAGCGGAGACTGCGAGCCAGGCCTCCTCCCCCGACATCAGTGCCTGACCTGACAAATGTGCTTCTGGAAGAATGGTCCAACCTTCCCATAGACACCCTCCTAAACCTTGTGGACGGCCTTCCCAGAAGAATTGAAGCTGTTATAGCTGCAAAGGGCGGGGCCAACTCAATATTGAACCCTACGGACTAAGACTGGGGGGCCATTAAAGGTCATGTGCTTGGAAAAGGCGGGGCCAACTCAATACTGAACCCTATGGACTGAGACTGGGGGGCCATTAAAGGTCATGTGCATGAAAAAGCCGGCCAACCAATACTTTTGGCAACACAGCGTGTGTGTGTGCGTGTGCATGTATATATGGACATGTGTGTGGACAGTCTGTGAGACTGTGCATCCGCTCCCATCACTCCCCACACCCGCACTCCCATCGCTCTCCGCACCCGCACTCCCCATCACTCCCCGCACCCATCCTCCCATCACTCCCCGCACCCGCGCTCCCATCGCTCCCTGCACTCGAGCTCCCATTGCTCCCCGCGCTCCCATCGCTCCCGCACCCGCGCTCCCATCGCTCCCCGCACCCGTGCTCCCATTACTCCCTGCGCCCACGCTCCCATCGCTCCCTGCACTTCCACCACTCTTTGCCCCCGCACTCCCATCGCTCTCCGCACCCGCGCTCCCATCGCTCCCCGCACTCCCATCGCTCCCATCATTCCCCGCACCCGCGCTCTCCCATCACTCCCCGCACCCGCACTCCCATCACTCCCCACACCCGTGCTCCCATCACTCCCCACACCCGCACTCCCATCGCTCCCCGCACCCATCCTCCCATCACTCCCCGCACCCGCGCTCCCATCGCTCCCTGCACTCGAGCTCCCATTGCTCCCCGCGCTCCCATCGCTCCCGCACCCGCGCTCCCATCGCTCCCCGCACCCGTGCTCCCATCACTCCCCGCGCCCACGCTCCCATCGCTCCCTGCACTTCCAACACTCTTTGCCCCCGCACTCCAATCGCTCTCCGCACCTGCGCTCCCATCGCTCCCCGCAACCGCATTCCCATCACTCCCCGCACCCGTGCTCCCATCACTCCTCGCACCCGTGCTCCCATCGCTCCCATCGCTCCCCGCACCCGT